AGATTTTCTACATGCTCTTCAAAACTCTTTCCGACGATGATATCAGACAGACTTCATAGAAAGATCTTTCAAAACAGTCTCTATAAGGCGTTCAAAAATTGCCGGCGCATTACACAGTCCAAACGGCATCACCTTGAATTACCAAAGGCCTTTGACCCATAATAAATGCCATCTTTTCTTGGTCTTCAGGGTGTATTTCTACCTGCCAATAACCACTCTTTAAATCAAGTGTTGAGAACCACTTGCTTCTAGAAAGAGTGTCTAGAATGTCATCAATTCTAGGAAGAGGGCTAACTGTCTTTCTTTCGTAACCTCATTCAACCGGCGATAGTCAACGCAAAATCTTGTTGAGCTGTCTTTCTTTCTGACAAGGAACGATGGGAGATGCCCATGGACTTGCTGAAGGCTCAATGACATTGCCTCTTCTTCCATATCTTTTTAAAAGTGTTTCGTACCTCTTCCTGTTTAGTGCAATTCGGTAGAACGTCTTGGATGTTGCTTGATCGGTGGATGATTCGCCGGTATCAATTCTATGTTGTGTCAAACTAATTCGACCCACATCAGAAGACGAGCGGGAGAAAACAACTTGAAGATCTTTAATGACGCGATCGGACGCATTCTTCTCTTCATCGTTTAATTGCGCATTATGAAGTAACTCTGATGTAATGCTTTCTGAAGACACAGATTCTTGGATGTTACTCTTTCTTTTAACACTGGTTACTGGAGTACATGCTGCAACCACTTCACCTTTCTTAATAACTCTCGCCTTCTCAATTACATTGGCAACTCTCACCGGGATAACCGTTCTGGATAGGTCGACGAGTGTTGAGGCTACTAGTACTCCTTTCGGGCTATTACAATTATTGGGATATTCTATGATGCCATAGCGGAAATTTCTATTTTCGGCTATGGTTCCAAGAAGTAAAAACTCGGTTCTTGCTGGTATTGTGATATCATCTTAAGCTATAATTTTGTGGATAGATTTCACTTCATCATTAGTTCCGAACAGGGCTATGTCCTCAGATGTAAAATGCAATTCGTTATTTTTAAAGTTTAAGGAAAAATTGTATTTCCTTAGAAAGTCCAATCCGAGTATGCAAGAATCAGTGATCTCTGCTACATATGCCGTATGATGGTAAGCGGCACTTCCAAACGTGATGTTAACGTTTACTTTTCCATCGATGTCGATCTTCTCACCAGACACAGTCTGGAGGGTAATGCAAAGTGGCGTCCAGATAAGTTTGCTTCCCAGTTGTTGAGCCAAATCTTTTCGGATGATACTAATGTTGGCTCCTGTATCTATCGTCATATTGCAGGGAACTTCATTAAAATGTCCTATTACGAAAAGTCCATTACTGCCGCCTCTCAATGCAGAAATTTGAAGCGCTTTAAACTAGGGCTTTTCATTATCTGGCAACCTCCGCCCCGCGAGAATACCACTAATTAGTTTCCCTGCTGCTTGCTAGAAGCAGTTTTAACATCTGTGCCCTTGGGTGTTCTGCAGTTCCACCGTATGTGTCCTTCAGTTCCACAGCTCCAACATTTTAAGGTCAGTTCTTTTCACTGATATTTCTTCTAAGTCATTGAGTTGTCTGGTCGTACCGTCTAGATGAACAGTGACTTGATCCCTTGGCTCCTGGACATGAGCAGCTCTGATTGGGTGGCGATCTCTACGAGTTGCTTGCTGGGCTGCCTCGAATTTCATGGCATAGACTAGAGCGCTTTTTAAATCTTTTACATCCACCATTCGTAGAGCTTTCTGTATTTCAGTATCCCGGATGCCGTTGATAAAGTATTGCAAGGACAGGATTTCCCTTGTTTCTGTCAGGCATCCCGAAAAGGCGAGATGGGACAGCCTTTCAACATCCGTGGCGAGCTCCTAAAGTGTTTTGGTAGGCTTCTGTTGATGAGATTTTAATTGAAGCCTGCTGTAGTCTTTTAAACACTTCTCCCCAAAGCGCAGCTCCAAGGCGCCGGACAGAGCTTCGAAATCTAACCTTTTGTTTTCGGGAAGAGTCTGAAGGATATCCGCTACGTTGGCTCTTAAAGAAGTGGCGAGATGACAGGCCTTGGCTTGGGAATCCCGTCCATTCGCATCCGCCACGATAGAAAATTGTGTCATATACACCTGCCAGGAGGTCTTCCCATCATATGTCGATAGCTTCAGAGAGGGACGAGCAGGCATGGGTAGAAATTTTAAACCATCCGAAGTGCTCCCTGTCGTCGCTACGAATTTCTTTAAATTATCAACTTCTCTGGCAACTGCAGATACCCTGTCATCAATATGTTGTTGGACGGCAGAAACTCTTCCTTCTATCCGTTGCTCCACAGCGGAAACTCTTTCTTCTATTTGATCGTTCACTGAAGAAACTCTATAATCGATTTGTTGTTCTACAGCTGAACCTCTCTGTTCTATTTGTTGTTTGACAGAAGAAACGTTTTCTTCAATTTGCCACAACTTTGTTTTCAACTCACGCCTATTCTGCGCTTGTTTTTCCATTATGCCATGTGATTTATTTTCTAATTTGCAGGTTATTTGGCCCACTTTTCATTTCTTGCTTTAACTGCTTTCATTTCTTTTTTAACAGATTCTTCAATCTTTTCTTGACCAGCTTCCATCTTTTCCTGACCAGATTTCATCTCCCCATTAATTTCTTTCTGAAAGATGTTTGGTCCCGCTTTCCATCTTTTCCTCCTTGAACGAGGCAAAAGGCTGACTGATTAAGCTGCCTCAGCTGTTCTTCCATCGCTCTTGTTATTGGCATTCAAATCCTACTTCTGACACCAAAAATTGTTGCGTGCGTACGGGTTCGTTACGAAATGAATGCACAAGACCGATGTAAAATCAACAAAATTTATTATTATCACAACAAAAATGCTTAAATTTCCTAAAGTATTTGTGCAGTATTACAATATTTCACAGTAGTTATTTTTTAACTACTCAAACGTTCAAGAAAACTTAATTCAAAACTGCTGGAGAAAGCAAACGCGCGAATTTCGCTACAGTCAACAAGAGCAGTTTTCTAAACAACAACAAACTAAGTAACTACAACAAACTGAGAGGTTTGCCTCCTTTTATAAGATTTTAAAATCGTGCGCGAGAATTTTCTAGTACTTTCTCGAAATCAAAAAGAGATATTTATTAAATGTTACATGCACGCGCTCTTGTATTTTAAGTTTTCCAGCATAGCTTTCTTTTAATATTCGTCACGTGCTGCACTGCGCGGGAAATAAAACCATTTAATTTACAATTAAACTAACATAAGCTATTTAAATACCAAATCCGTAACAATATATTCAAGAATATTGTGTATATCCAGAAAACCATGTATACAGCCAAAATACATGATTTTTTTTTCATTACTATACATAAGCTTCTAATTTCCGTGCTTCACTGCAATGCTAACTTAGTCGTACTTTTAGAGCTCTGGTGGCGCAGCGTTCCACCTCATGGAACACCCACAGAATTGAAACAGTAAGTGCAATTTTTACAAAATTTTATCTGTATATTCCTTTAAGCCTAGATAGACTGCATACAACTTTTCTTGTTGAAATACCGACTTTAAAGTGTATTGCACCACAAAGGGTTAAGCATATGAAAGTGAAACATGTTATCCAATCATGAAATGCCATCGACCATGAAAGTTGGCAGAGATGTTGCCAAAATAGCTCTAATTATTCCAGCAGAAGTTTAGAGGAATAATAGATAATCTACAGATAAAAGTTACGAATGTAGCTTAAGAAAACTTCAATCATGTATTGTAGTTTTCAATATTGTATCACCATTGTTTATGTGTTTTGAAATAAAATCATGTATTCTGCCATTTAATGCTCACTTTCTGAATGGCAGTATCTTGCAATTTTGAACATATTCTATTGCATGCCATTTCTTTGAATGAAGTGGTCTCAAATTTCAGCCTTCTTTTTTCCCCAAAAAAATACAAAGGGAAAACAGATAAATAGCCATTAATTTATATCTTTTTTACAAAAACTAAACTGGCTTATTGAGAATCATTTGTGTTTATCAAAAGCAAAGATCTTGAAACTGTGTTGTGACATTGCGTTTATCGTTTATTGCCACTAGATCACACTGTTTGCCTATTTCACTTTTTTGAAGTTCGGTTTTTTAAAGGGGGAGAGAATTCTAAAATATTCCTGTTACTTAAGTTTTTCAGTTAGTTGAATGTCAAATAGTGAGGCTTTTACTATATGTGTTTTTTTGTGCTTTGCGTTTCTAAATTTGTCTCCTAAAACATTGGAAGCAGAGAAGAAACAGCTGAAAAATTTAAATTCTCTTAAAAGTAATTAAGTAATAATTGTTGTATTTGTGTACATGTCTTCGCCTTTTGTATGCCCACTGCAGCGTTTTTATCATGTGATTTAAAAATTTTTATTACATTCATAATTTTTATTTGCTTTCTTTTTGGATTTGAAAATTCTCCTTTATTCTTCCCTAGATCGATAGTTTTAGATGTTGATAGAAGATGAATGATTAGTTGATAGTTGTTGTAAATAATTTTTTCACTAATTCAAAGCTGTTTTATGTATTTTCAGTTCACAGCCATTTCTTTTTATTTAAATGGCTCATGATTTTCATGGCTTAGGTTGGCAAAAAAGAAGTCACCAATAATTGGTGGCATTGCGGAAGGATTAGATGGATACTAACCCTCCCACAATGCCACCAATCATATTGCCACCCCTCCCATTGGAATGGGAGAGTACTGCAATGGTTTTAAATTTGAAATGAAGACCTTGATTAGTTTTAAAGGTTCTAAGATATTTAAATACAATAAATGTTAATAAATTGTTTTAAAATTATCTTAAATGTAGGCCACATTATAATTTTGGAGCAGAAATTTGAAGTTATATATATGTGTGTGTGTGTGTGTAAGTGTAAATACAGTATTTTTAGTTACTGGTAGCAAATCAATTTATTTATGATTGCATGATTAATTTAAATGTTTTTCCTTGAGCATTTGCTCATTTATTTATTATTATAGATGCTGCATCTGTTGAAGTTTTTGGGCTTCCTGTATATACTGCTGATGAAGTAGCTGCTCACAGTTCTGTTGAAAAAAGAGTTTGGGTTTGTTATAAAAGTGGTGTGTATGATATCACTGATTTCATTCCAAAACATCCAGGTGGTGATAAGATTTTAATGGCTGCTGGAGCATCATTAGAACCTTTTTGGGAACTTTTTGCTGTTCATAAAAGTGAGCAGGTAATTTATTATTATTATTATTATTATTTTAGTGTAGAAACTTTTCTATCCTTTCAGTAACATAAATAAGTAGATCTTAATGGAGAGACAGAGTGATTTTAATTCTTTTTTAATTGTATTTCAGAATTCACTTTATGATGGAAATGTCATAAACTGAAAATAGAATATTGTCAAACTTGTACTGTTGCTTATATATTTTTCTGATATAAATGTGAGCTCTGAATTATATATTTTATCTAATGATGACATAGAATCCCTTGTAAATCCAGAGAAAAGTGAAGCAATTTCATGTCTGTAGAATAAGCAAAATGCTATTGATGAGTTGTATGTAAAAAAAGATGTAATATTCGTGCTGGTATAAGATGGTGCTGTGTTTTGATAATGATGAGTAACCACAATAAATTATCCATGTGGGAAAATTTTGAAATATCAATGTGTGCATTTTATCAGAAAATATGAATAATGAAAGTAGTTAATTTAGAATTTATGTATTCGAAAAAAATTAGTCATCTTCAACCTTATTCATATCTAAAAAATAAGTTACAAAACTGTTTTGCTTGAAAACCAATTCAGTTTCATTTTTTAATCAAAAAATGTAATAGAATTTAAATTAATGAAGAAATTTGTTGAAGTCTTTTTATAAAACAAAGAATATTTTTATAGTTTTAAAACTAACTCTTTTATTTATAGAAATTTAAATACTGAATTTAAATTTCTATAAATTAAATTATAAATTTAAATACTGTTTGAAATTTACTTTTTTGAGAAACTATAAATTCCTCAAATTTTTTTGCCACCACTGTTTCGAGAAATTTATTAAACTGTATATTCCCCCCCCAGCAAATTTTAAATAAATACTTAATAAAATGATCTTGCTTATTGTGTGTCAGTAAACTAATTGATGAGTCTCTACATTACCAGCATCACAGCCTGTGTGGTAACAGGTAACAGATTTTAGGGACAATAAAATTTTTCTAACTTTTAAGGCCGTGGGGAGTAGAATTTAGGAGGAGATTGCACTGGGTAATAAAAAGGCTAATGCTGGCCTTGAATTGATAAATATAACTGTGATTTATAGTTAAGTGATTAAGCTTTTCCTGATTTAAAAACTGATACACTTTCCAGCTGCTAGAATAAATTGTTGCATCTTTTTAAATCCATTATCTAATAGTACTCACCAGAATTTTGTAAATTAGACAGTGGTCAGCAACCAAAAATAACTTTTTTGTTTCACATTCTACTGCTCTAAAAATCAATTATCTGTCAACAGCTCATCCTGTATTATATCTATGTATTTCCTGCTGTTTGTTTTGTTTTTATCTCTCAGTTTGACTATTTGTGAAACGATCCTCACAGTAGTGATAATTTCTCTATATTTGTCACTTTTACAAGAGAAGGAATGAATCCCTTTGCAAGGCCCTCGCGTTTTTTAATTGAAAGAAATTGCGAATGATGTAATGGTTGATGGTGCTGTGAAAGCCGTTACTGACATCACCCAAGCAACAGCAGCCTTTTTATATCTTTGACATCACCAAAGCCTCAAAAATATTCAAAACCATTGATGGAACCACAAATGCCAAAAAACTCTGAGACAGCAGAGAAAAGCATGGGAGCATTTTTAAAGATAATTCACTCTGTCAAACCTTATTGCTTGCCAAAGCAAACGCTTGGATATCCTGGATATTCTATGTGTCTGGAATAACACCCTCAACACCAAGTGAACAAGTATGAAAACGAGTTAAATGTGGAATATACCAAGGCCACTAAATTTTCCATCCTGAGAAAAGATGCCCAAGAGATCAACACTGCAGAAGAAATTGCAAATAACTCCTGGTGAAATGTTTGCAACCGTTAGAAATGGCTATTTCCCATCATTTCTTTCTGCTAAGCTACAGGCTGAAAATATTAAGTTCAACTCTGCCAACTGGTAGTCTTATAATTGTGAATTTTTCCTTCTTGAATTAAGGACTGCTTTGTTACAGACACATAGGCCTTGCTCGGGTCCAGATGGTGTCAGTTACGAGATGATGAAGCATCTTCCTTGTAAATCGTTGAATGCCCTTCTTGCTTTGTTTAGTCAAGTATGGAAGGAGCATAACTTTCCCAGTGCAAGGAAAAAAATCTGTTATAATTTGTAAAAAGCCAGGAAGGCAGAAAAAGATCTGAAGAATCCCTCCAGCTAACATGCCTGTAGCCCTTATGAGTCATGTTTGCAAACTATTTGAAAAAAGGGTGAACTTCTGCTTAGTCTGCTATGTAGAAAAGAAAAATATAATTTTCCCTTATCAGAGTGGCTTCCATAAAGGTAGAATGACTTGATAATATGCTCCTTTTGGAAACCCTTATCTTGAAGGCTATCAAAAGAAACCATTTTTTTGACATATAAAAAGCCTATGACAAGACATGGAGACATGGGATTTTGCTTGATCTTCATGCTAGTGACTTATGTGGCAGCTTACCAATTTTTATTCAAAATTTCTTGGAAGCTAGGACTTTTCATGTGAGGATTAGCTCTGTAGTATCAGAGATCTCTTCTCAGGAAGAGGGTGTGCCCCAAGGCTGTATACTGAGTGTTACTTTGTTCAGTTTAAAAATCAACTCTGTCCTAAAACAACTTCCTCCTACGGTTTCAGAATTTTTAGTATGTTAATGATCTCCATTTATGCTGTCAAGATGCAGACATGAGATACGTGGAGCAGCAACTGCAGATCGCTTTTAACATGATCTAGAAATGGTCAAAAGAAGAAGGATTTAAGTTTTTGAAAAAGAAGACCATATGCGTACACTTTTGCTAGAAGCATAACCTCCATCCTGAGCCTGAATTAGCTTGAAGGATCACTGATTCCACTGGAACCTAACGTAAAGATTTTAGGAGTGTTGTTTGATCAAATTCCTCACATCCTGTACCTAAGGAAGAAGTATTCCAAAATGCTGAATATTTTGAAAGTTTTGGAAAAAACCTCCTGAAGCTCGGATTGTTGCTCATTACATGCTCTATACTTTATTATGGCTGGGTTGTTTATGGTTCCGCACATCTTTCTGTGTTACAAAAGCTAGGTCCTATTTATCATGAGGCTTTGTGTATATACTCCAGAGCATTTAGGACTTCGCCAGTTCAGAGTCTCTATGTTGACTGCTATGTGCCGTCGTTTCAATTGAGGTGTGAGTTAATTAAGGTGTAATTTGTCTCTCAGTTATTATTTCAATGTTTTCTCTTCCTGACCATCCTAATCAGTTTTCTTTTTTTGATGACATATGCAGATTCTTGTTTGAGGCCCGACCATCCTATGTGCATTATTTCTGTCTTAGGGCTCATTCAATAATTCAGAAATATCACATGATAGATTTACCCGGCAATAAAAAATTTCAAAATCTCACCTGGGGAGGATGCTCAGATTCGGCTTTTTGATGTTTTTCAACATTTCAGCTAAAGAGATACTAACAAGTTTGTATACAGACAACTTTTTTCTGACCACAGGCACAAATATACTAGTTACATTTGTGTATTTATGGAAGGCTCAAAAGCAGTAGGACATGTTGTTGCATCCTTTGTTATTGAAAGCCACATGGAGGGTAAAAGACTGCATGATGCCTTCTCCATCCTTACCGCAGAATTAAATGCTATCTATTAAGCACTTTCATTTATTTCTAAGCTACGTCGAAGACAGTTTATAATACAGACTCATTTAGAGCTTTAAAATCTTTACAGTCATGTTATAATACTCAGAATATCATCACTGTTGATATCTTAAGCTTTAATCTTAATTTAAGAAGCCATGAGGATGACATCTTTTACTGCTGGGTTCCCGGGCATGTGGGTATAAAAGGGAATGAGCTGGCAGCTATTACAGCAAAGTCTGCAGTTCATTTTTCTGATTGCGCTGTCACATACAGTTATATCAGCAGAATCATCAGGCAAAGAATATCGATCAAATGGCAGCATCAAATGGGCCTCTGGAGTGTCCGACTAGATAATAAATTGAGAAACATCAAACCTAAATTTGAATGTTGGAAGGCCTCTAGGAACCAGAAGGAGGAAGTGTTATTAACCCACCTTAGAGGTAAACAGAGGAAGTCGCCCAACCTTTGTTAACAGAAGAAGAGAAAAAGTCATTGACCTCACATTAACTTCTGATATTTATAACCTTATTGAGACTTGGCATGTAAGTGACAATCCCTCACTTTCTGACCATCGGCTTATACAATTTTGTATTAGAGATGAAATTCCAGCTGAATATTTCAGAAACATTAAAAACACAAATTGGGACCTTTATAAGGATTTCCTGGTTTCTAATGTCATTAACCTTCAGGTTTTAGACAATAATTGTACAGTCGAGGAGCTTGATACTCAAGCAAACAATTTGACAAATATCATTATTGAATCTTATCATGCATCATGCCCTCTCAAACGAAGGAAGTACTCTCCTAGCAAGAGAGTTTGGTGGACCAAGGAGCTTGAAAGCCTCCACCTAGAGGTTCGGAGAGCTCACAGGAAAGCAGTCAGAAATAAATCTGAAGTTAACTGGTCTAACTTCAAAATTCTACAAAGGAAATTTAAAAGTGAAATCAGGAAAACTAAATACAACTCATGGAGATCGTTCTGCACAGATATTCTGTCCTACCATGAGACTGCCAGAGTATCTAAGATTCTTAAAAGATCTCAGGAGTCTCAACTCTCATCGGTTATGCGACCTGACGGCAGTTATACTGTAAACCCTTTGGATACACTTTCGACCATGTTGAATTTTCATCTGGGGGACAAAAGTGTCACCTCTGACCCCCAGGAAAATCCATTGGAACTACTTCATAATCCATTAGATTTCTGGATTTTGCTAAGACAATTGTGAATTTTGAAAAGGCTAAAGCGGCCCTTTGATGTATTTCTTCCCTTTAAATCTCCAGGGAACGATGGCATTTACCCAATTCTGCTTCAGAAAGGCTGGGATATTTTTGGTCACATTCTCGTGGACATATTCGAAGTCCAGTTTGATTTTAGGATA